ACACTAATATTTGTATTTTTATTTATATAAACTTTCCAAATTTGTTTTATTGATAGTACTAAAGCTCGTCAATAGCTACTAAACAAAAAAAAAAAAGAAAATCTGTTGAAAAACAGGGAAGAAAAATATATTCAACTGTTTTGCTTTTTCCAATCCCCTTACCCACCCACACATATATTATTACAGTAAGGCTCGAAATCTGTTTTGTACCAAATATAAGCTCCTTACATACTCAAATACCATAAATGGGTGTACCGTTGGATTCAGAATTTCAGGGGGGGGGGGGAGGTAGCGAATCGTATTCTCCACTTTTGTTTTTCTTTCTAAAATAAATAAAGTCGATACAAACATTTTGCTAGGCTTCAATACTGGAACGGTGGTAGGTCTGTAGATCGATACGGGACAAATTGGATCTTGAAGATTTTGATGCGTACAACAAGACCCCAAAAACGTTTTTAAGCCCAAAAACGTACAATTTTCGAGATAATGCAAGGCATGGGGTTCGCATCGACACCACCTGACATTAATTGTAGTACTGTCATTGAATACATGTCTCATTTCGTCGACTTGATGTCTCTCTGATCGAGAGAGGAGGGATTTATATTATTTATCGATGGTGTTTTTGATCGGCAAGCCATATCATCGTTAATTCTTCACCAAATCTCAAGATTGAGCCACCAATTTCGAAGGCTTCCTTCTCCTTCAGGCGGGCAAAACAGTCCAATCACCCCGAAAATTCAGGCAAACAAGTTATGAAAGAAAACAAACTTTATTACAAACTGAAAATTACACACTTCGCTTGGTTATTCTCATGATTATATAAAAGATTTCTAAATTACCTACAAAAATAGGGGAAAAAAATCATTGAAATCGGACAATTTTCAGCAAAGATACAGCATATTAAAATTTGTAAACATGTTGGTTCCAAACAAAAATTAAGATTTAAATTAATTTTTGTTTCCTTTCTCGATTATATTTGATACGTTGCATTATTTTATTTTTTATTGATTTGGCATTTGATAACAATTTGCTGTGCGAATTTTTCGCACGAGCCTACCAGTTTATATAATTATTCTAGAAGACTCTATCAAGAAGCTCTGGATATTTATTGGGCATTGCTAAGGTGTTTACAATCAGCTTAAGATGATTGGATTGTTCCACAACTTTCTCACGTGTAATTCAAGTTTCTATGCTTCATTGTCCGATTATGAGAATGATACGAGGACTTTGTACAGATATCATGTAACGCCTTCTTATTCATTCTTCTTCAAACGGCTCGTTCCAAGAAAAAAATCCGATTATTTTTTATTTGTTTGTGTTCATACTCTTTACTAAAGTACTCAATACAACGCTAACAGTATTTAAAAAAGATTATACGCTGGTATATTTTTTTATCTCCGTAGTTATGTAGGTCCGAAGAAAATTCCGGCCTAATATAAATGAGGTCAATATAAACTAAAATTATATAGCGAGAAAATAGTTTGAGAATCGAATAAATCAACAACTTTATAATTTTATTTTTATTTGCGCCATTTTCAAGAAGAGAAGCATTAAAATTTCTTCGAAGATAGCCCCATCGTCGTTTTTTGGCTCCCGGACTGTCAATGTCAGCTATGTAAACATTGTAAATAACAGTAAGAACTATATAAGCTCATTAAATTATAACTTTTGATTTTTTGGAAAGGAAGGGCGAACTCTCACATGTGGAGTTAAGGAGGTTGGGTCACATATTTCAATCACTAGCGAAACCAGGATTTAATTTTTTTTGGGAGGGGACAGCCCGAAGGATTTTTTTTCATATATATAACGATAATTAATTTGAAAAAAAAAAAAGAACTACCTATAAGAAATGGTGTTTAAGTGAATCTTGAAGTCCTATTAAATGTAATTACGCGAACAATAATACTTTAAGAGAAAGTTTTTAATATTTTTTTCTTTAAAACATAGTTATATTTTACCGTTTTGGGGGGAGGGCTTCAGCCCGAAAGCTCCCCCCGTAAATCCGTCTGTGATTTCAATGATACTGGTTAGAAAAATATTAGATGCATTTCCAATGGATTTTACTAATGTACCCTAGGAGACATTATTATATATCAATCGATTATTTTTTTTTAAATAATAAAAACGTTTTGTTAATTCTATTAAACGAATTCTAACGTATAATAAATTACAAAAACCGAAATACGCTTCCAGTAAATTAGGCCGTAAACTTTTGTCATGAAAACCGATTCTGATCCTATTTTAGCGTCCACTTAAAACAAATAAATACAAATGTGGGTACTAGTTCACACGAGTTCCGCGTGGTTCACAATCAGTTCGATCACACTTGTTCATAAAACGCCGAAAACAGTGAAATGTTCCCGAATCTTATGACGTCAGCTGATGTCCTAAGCACACGTTTCCCATGAATAATGGAGATCATCAACAAGAAAAATAAATATCGAGAAGTAGTATTCAGTGATATAATAATTGCAGGTTTTTATATATTACTATTTATTTTTCATAATATATCGCTTATGTTAACGTAATGACTCAGAAATCGGTCAAGCCTTATTTATTTGCGGCCTAAATTCAACTTAATTTTCGTGTGTATAAGTGAAACCATGTCTAAGTTATCACAATTTATGTTATTTTCGAAAAAACATCGAAGGAATAATATTTAGGATGAACAAAGATCGTATTCGTTTTTTTCACCTCTAAAAACCCTTAAATAAAAATTTTCATTAAATTGAAAAATATAAAGTTTTTTCTCAATATTCAGTATTCTATCAATAGCTCTTATGTGATATATCTATGCTTATAGCTTCATAGTTGATATTATTATAGCAAAATATTTTTATTTTTCGATTGCTATGAAAATTTCCTCAATGTTTAAATATATTTAACAATTTTAATTTATACTATAAAGCTAAGAACATAGATGATTTAGCAATAATATATCTTTCTTTAGTAAGGTTGACTTGTAAGAAAATTCTGAGGAGTTATGAATATTTTAGTAAAATGCATGAAGAAAAAATATTAACCATATACTGTAGTGTAGGTATTTTGTTTTCTTGATTCTGTGGCAGGAATCTCTACAAATTACTTCATAGAACAAACATTGGTCAAAAAAAAGTTTTTAATTATTTCATTCTTAAGTTTCTAGTCAAGAACTCTGGTTAAATTATAAAGAACTCTGTTTTGCTACTCCAAGAACTAGTTCTGGTTTCAAGATCACTAGAACACGCTTTGAAACTGACCGCCATCTTTGAGTAGCAAACGGAACTAGTGTCTTCATGTTTTGTTGAGCATTTTTTCTTAATTTTTTTTTTTAGTTTGTAAATATGTTCTATTTATTATGATAATGATATAGTTTATTATTATATATAATCATTATAATTGATGCGTCATATTCTTGAAGTAAGTAAATAACTCATTAGAGAAAATTAAACTATTACTAAGATTATAATTAAATATTACAAAGTAAAATATTTCTTGTGATTTTTTATATTAACTCCTTCCATTCAAATAGATCCAATATTTGTTTCTTTGTTTCATAACATAATCAATGAATACACATATCTACATTGTATTTTGATTAAAGGTCAAAACATTTGACTTCAAATTGGTTTCACTATTATTATGTCATTTACAGCATAATAATAAAAAATATCACAGTTTATATTTACACTAATTCTTATTTATATTTATAAATATTAATTCTGAACTGGATATTATCTCTGGTGGTTTATGACTGTCATACTTTGCAAAATGGAAAGGAATGTGTATTAAAAAAAATATATTCTTTGTACAATTACAATTTTATTTCCAATTACAAATTTAATTATGTTTGATATAAATATTTTGCATTTAATATTTTAAATAGCATGCTATACTTTAATAGAATATGTGATATATTAATTTTATTTGTATGTTTAGTGCTATTTCATTATTATTTAATTATGCAAGGCCCCTCTCGGTAAACCCCAAACGTGGGTCTAGATAATATTATTATTTGTATTAAAGTACTTTGAAAACAAAATTTAGGTTATGAAAACTATTACTAAATTAAAATATAGTAATTATTTAATTTTTGCCGACGTTTCAACCCACTTTGCAGGTTGTCTTCAGTGCTAAAAAAGATGCAAAACATGGTGAAAATAAAAAAATTAATATAAGTAGATATAAAATAAGAAGAAGATCTCAGATACAGAAATAAAAAGATGATATCAGAGATATAAGGGGTGACAATCTAGTTAAAATATCAAGTATTATATATGTAGAAGATACAAACAAATGGAAATGTGTATCTTCTACGTATATAATACTTGGTATTTTAACTACATTGTCACCCATTATATCTCTGATATCATCTTTTTATTTCTGTATCTGACAACTTCTTCTTATTTTATAATCTACTTATATTCTTTTTTTATTTTCACCATGTTTTGTATCTTTTGTAGCCCTGAAGACGACCTGCAAAGTGGAAAAAAACGTCGGCAAAAATTAAATAATTACTATATTTAAATTTAGTATTTATTTGTCCGTACCCCCCGATTAACTCCTCATATTATATCAACGGTCAACCATCTCTACATCATTATAAATATAATATGTTTTTTTAATCTAATGTAATAATGTATAATTCAATAAGAAATACTTAACTAAAATTGTCATTTGTTTGTTTTTATAAAATAATATAATATATTATTTTTTCTTAATATAAATTACAATTATATAATATAATATGTTATATTATGAAGCATATAAATGATATATAATTTAATAAGAAATACTTTACTAAAATTTTCATTATTTTATTGGTAAACCTTCAAATATTTTTAATTTAGAACAACACTCATTTACAACTTTGTTCTTGCCTTGTTTTATGAGGAAGTAGAATTATCAAGTCAAAATTCATTATTCTTTCTAACCTAATCCCAATAGACTATGTCTTTAGCCATTTATTTTTTAAAATGTTTACATATTAGTTAAGAATTGATGACATTTAATGATTGCAGGAGATGTGCCAGCGACCCAGGTTCCGTTCCGCAGGATCCCAGAAGGCAGAAGTGGAGCCTGGTGAGCTCGGGGACATGTCGCTGTCTGCCGCCTTATCCTCGCTCATCCTAGTCCCTCACTTCCTCGAGAGAGTTGTCCCGCACGACCAAGGTTTTGACACCACAGCTGGATATTGTGGCCTCTTCAGGTACACCACATTATTATGTTTTATGAAAATAAGTTATTTTTATTAAATTAAACTTATTGATCGCTTTATCTCAAAATTGAAGCCTATGAAGCTGAAATTTTAAATGGTCATTACTGCTTTATATGTGCAATAAGTTTGGAGTTTTATAAATTCTAACTCAGATGGTTAAACAAATTTATTTCAAAATCCTAGAAATACAATTTTTTCTCCGGATGAATTTAAAATCCATAAGTTTCCTGCAAAACTATAAATACTTGTTTGAAAGCTAATAAAATTCTCTGCAAACTAAAAAATCAATTAAATGTGACCAGTATCAGCAAGGATTCAAAGAATTTTAATTTTTATCTAAGATTTATTTACATATTTTCCTATAACCTTAGCAAATAAAGTTTTTATATGCATTATTGTTATGCTTATCATAAACTTAAGATCCTTATCAGACTAACTTTAATTTTAATGTTGGAAAAAAAATATTTGTGAACAAAGCATCGAGTAACAGCAAGTTTATTTTAAAAAGTAATGTCCATGTTTTGGATATTTTTAACCCAAAGAATGTTAGTATTCAACAAAGAATGTTAGTTCAGTTAAAGTCATTCCTTTCATTTCACATTAATATAATGACTGTTAACAAATGGAATTATTGTATTCCATTTTTCCAAATCATCAAAACTGAAATTTAAACAGAAACTAAACACATATACATACTTGGCAGAATTTAAAAATTAAAGATCATATCCAATTATACTTACTATGATCTTGTCCATGTTTTTCTCTTGTCCTCTGGTTAAAACTTTTCATTCAGAAAATTCAACCCTGTCGAAATGTGCCCCCCTCCAAAATTCTAAACCCTCTCATAATGTGCCGTTCTCAACAATTTTAATGGTGCAACTTGCGCCATGAAATCTCCTTCTGGGCACCTCTGTGTTCGTCATTAGTTGTCAGGACATCTTCTTATTATAACTTTTGTTAATTACAGTTGTGAATAGAAAAATTAAGAGATGAAAAAGTTCACTTAAATCCTTCTGTATACTACTTTCATTGTTATAATTAATCGCTATATCATGAAAGTTTATATGTTTTTATAATATATAATTTATAAACTTCTAAATCTAAATTTCTGTCTGTATTACCTTATATACTATTTTTTATATATACTTCTATAAGTTATTTAGTTATATTAATATATTTTATATGATTATATTAATAAAAGTTTATATTAAAATGCTTTTTTATTTAGGTTCAGGTTTTGGCATTTCGGTGACTGGAAAGAAATTTTGGTCGATGACAGGTTACCCACTTACAAAGGCAGGTTAATTTATTCTCATTCTACAAACCCAACTGAGTTCTGGGTAGCTCTTTTGGAAAAGGCTTATGCAAAGTAAGCAAATATTTCATTATTATTTTTTTGCTCTATGATTTTCTCTCAATATTTAGTAATATCAAACAAAAAGTTGATTTTTCGAAATAATATTTATGAAATTGTATTATATTAATTGAGATTATAATTTATTATTTTACCAAATTATGTTCCTTGGCTTTAATAAACTATTTATTTTTATTTTACTTTTTTTTAAAGAAAAATATACCTTCATAATGAATTTCAGAACCATCCAAACCCTCTCGTTTCTAACCTTGCTTTCTCTTTGATCCCTGATAACTCACCGAGGCATCTGAAAAGAAGATGTCCTCATGATCTCCTAATTTAGAAATTATATCAGAGTGCTGCCAATGTGTTGTTTCTCTACAAGTCTATTCATGTCATTATATTTCTATCTTCACCTTTACTAGATGTATTTTTAATTAATTCAATTTTAAATTTCATGAAGAAATAAAAGAAAATAGTTTTTATTCCATCATTTTAAAATCTGTGTCTGACTGGAAATATACTCCTTAAATGCATTTTAATTTAATAAAAATTATCTCTTAAAGTATTATTGTTCATGTAATTACATTTAATAGGACTTCAAGATTCACTTAAACACCATTTAATATAGGTAGTTAGTTTATTTCTTTTTTTTCCAAAGTAATTATCGTTATATATATGGGAAAAAAAGAGCTTGCAGGCTGAAGTCCTCCCTCTCCCCCCCAAAAAAAATTAAATCCTGGATCCGCTAGTATCGTATGGTCAATATCAAACTGGTTAATTGTTATTCTTTCGATTTAATGGACCAGATTTTGAGCTTATGATTCAAAATTAAAGGTGTATTTTATTCTATAATTTATTATTTAGTGATATTTTTTTTTATACTCATGTTTTATTAGTCATCCATTAATTTTTCAGAATACTTACTTCCAACTCTCAATTTTGTAGTTTTTTTTCGGAATTTCAAAAGGATTATTTTTTATCAATCAAATAGACATATTTCTTAAATGCTAGATTCCTGCTCAAAATATAACGCAACATATAATTCACTAAAGAGATGTTAAAAATATGAAAGGGTTTTTTATTTGATCTTTAATCAAAACAAGGCCATAAACATTCCTCGTAACTATTATTTGTAGCTGCTATCAACTGAATACATATTTTGAACTATTGCTCTCATTCCTAAAACTTATATATTCATTTAAAATAACCTGATTAAGTTATATGATTTTTCTCCTTGTATGATATCGTTTTATGCTTTTTGTTAGATTGTACGGCTGCTATGAGAACATTAGTAACGGTGGGTGTACAACGCGAGGACTGCAAGACCTGACGGGCGGCATCGTCCAAAGCTTCGGACTCTCCAATCAGGAGAGGTACCTCACGTACCAAGTTCTCAACTCAGCCATACCCCGATCTAGTCTACTTATTGCTACCATATCATCATCACCTGGTGGAAAGGTATTATCTCCATTAATTAATGATACATAATGGTTTATCTGTGAGATATATTATGTGTGATGGTGATTGGGGTTTAAAAATAAAATAACATGAAATCAACAGTTCAAATCTTGTTTGAAAAATTAAAAAAGATATTCAATGATTGACTATTTATTTGGGATTTATATTGTTTCCATTATTTAATTTTAATTGGGTTTAGGTATATTTGAAACTTTTGAAGATTTTCATAATTATATAATAGGTGATAATTAATACTTAAATCCAACAAAAATAATTAGTTATAGCTTTGTTTAATTTTTTAACATTTTTTTCATTTAATTTTGCAAGGGACAGCCAAAACAACCCACATACGAAAACTACAAACTTTTCAGTCAAAAACTTTCAGAATTATAACTAAAACTCTATAATATAACAAATATAACTTTGCATAAAGACTTACACATACCAATGGCTAACGACCACATATGTACTCACTACAAAAGATTGCATGACAACTTACACTGATAACACTCTCATGCAAGATATGATGACAATTAACATACCCGATAACAAACTTAAGAGACCTAAAGAAGCTGGATGAGGGATCATCTCATTTAAAAATCCATACTAAATTCAAGAAATGTAAGGATGCCGCTGGGCATTCCACTCCCTCACCCCAATCAATACTAATGCTCATATTCTTACAGAATAAGAAATAAAGATATAAAAATTTTTTTTTTGTTTGACATAGTGAAAATAAAAAAGGTAATCAAATGTAACTGTTATCATCAAAACTCCTCTTCGATATGATAACAATCTAAAACCACCATAGTGCCATCTGCATTGCTGCTTTGGACGAAGCAGTATGGAGATGACACCATAGCTAGACAGCCTAGCACTACCAATGGAACATGCTCTACTCTATTCCCTCAAACTAATATTCAACTGCCATCCACTGCGATGGGCAACAACAAATACACTGACAGACAAAAAATTCCACCCACTTGTTACCCATTAACGAACCACGTTGGAAAGGTTGGCTCTGAGAAAAATTACAGGCTGCATATCTTTCGTTACTTCTTCTCCACACCCTTTCACGCCCGTCTGGAGATCGAAGAGCAAATCTTGACTCATCTGTAAAAAGTACAGCACTCCATTCGTCCATAGTCCAATGGCTGTGTTCTCGAGCAAAAGCCAGCCGTGTTACTCTGTGAGTTCTGGTCAACTCTGGTCCTCTTACTGGACGAAAAGCGATTAATCCATACTCATTTAATCTTCTCCGAGCGGTACGTTCAGAAATTTTCACACCTCGAACTTCTTCGAGCTGATGAATCGCTTGAACAACGTTAAGGTGCCGGTTTCGTAAAATTCTCAGTCAAAAACCGGTCATCCCATGGTTCTGTTACCCTAGGCCGTCCAGAACCGGGCCTTCTATTGTAAGAACCAGTTTCCCGAAAACCTCGTAAAGTTTCATAAGGAACTCTGATTGCATTAGCTGCATATCTAATGGAATGTCCATCATCAATAAGTGGCACACCACGCACAACATCTTCAGCACTAAGAGGCATTTTTAATCTTAATATTGAAAAAATTAAAAGCCGGAGACTAAGAAATGTGTTGCAAGAAACGGCACTGAACTAATGATACTGAATAAACATTTTGATTCTATAGAAAGTAAACATTGGAATCTAGAATCATTTCATTGAATTAAGGATTAAGGGTTATTGTCCTCTATATCAACATTCCTAATTGAAAACAAACAAAAAGATTACTTATTTATTCATTAAAAACAATAGACCAATCCAAAGCAGAAATATTTTTAGATGAAAACATGAAAAAATCAAGTGGGTGGAATTTTTTGCCTGTCAGTGTAGTATATTTAATGGCCTATTTCACACAAAAAGATATTTTCAAATCAGTATGGTATTTCCTTAAAATTAGTACAATCAAACTAAAAAACCACTTATGTTATAGTGTTCAGTATTGATTACAAAATTAAAATATTCTTATCAACAATGAATTTCCAACAGGAGAAAGAAAGCAAGCTGCGTCAGCTAAGGCTTCGAAACGGCCTGATGACCCAGACTGCCTACACCGTCTCAGGGCTAGCTCGAGTCAGAGGAGCCGGCGGCTCCGAAACCCCTCTCGTCAGGCTCAGGAATCCTTCAGGTATCTTTCCATTTTGTTTCGCTTTATTCTGTCTATATGTAACCTTCACGTTACATTATTGAAGGATCATGTATTTAATAAGAAAAGTCTTTAGAGATTTAGATGACAACGATGTCCATACAAGTATTACATGAATTGGGGAAGGGTGGCCGAGCAGGCTAACACGTAAGCAAAATATGCGTTGCCCAGCAACTTGATAAACCGAAGATTAGTTCATTTTCAAGTGCTTGAAGGGACTTTTGACTCCTACTCCTCCCTCTCTTCTGTCTCAGAAAAACTTTGTACAGCCAATCAGGCAAGGGGAGGAATAAAAAAGATAAAAATAAAGTACTTCATAAATATTCAATATAAATACATTAATTAATAGATATATTTATCTTCATAAAACTGTAGTTAGAGCTGCAGAAAAAAAAAAGATTGTTTATGGTGTTAATATTATAATACTGCTTATATTCTACATTAAAATCTATTTTATTTATATTAGTATTTTATTTATATTAGTATAATTCGTTCCGATTCCTCCCATGTCTAAGTTTTTTCTTGAAAATGGATGAATGATCATGTCAAGAACATTCAAAAGTGATTTGTTAAAATTTAATAATAATTAACTTTTTTCTTTTTGTATCAAATGTAATACTACAGTCAAACTTCAATATATAGAAAGCTTACAATTTTCCATTCTGGTTATACTAAATAATATTATTTAGTATAAATATTTTTTAAAAATTTCCACATTTTTACTTTTCATCTTGATTTTTAAGTATTTTATTAAGTCAAACTTTCCTTTTACACTTAATGATTTTTTGTTGAGGAGCCATATCCACTAGCAATTTCAACTAACATTCATGGTTTATAAAAAGAAAATATACTATATTTTTTATACATGGAAGTTCAATATATTGTAGTTGTACTTTGTTTTGATCTTAAGTTCGAAATATATTGCATAGGTCGTGGTGAATGGACTGGTCCGTGGTCAGAGAGGTCCTGGGAATGGGATTCACTCAATGAGAGGGACAAGGAACTGTTGTCGATCAGGGTCAGGAACGACGGAGAATTTTGGTAAGTCATATTAGTTAATATTGCAATATCTGAAAGCGTTTTTGTAAAATATATTAAAATTAATTTAATATTTCTAGGATGTCGTTTGATGACTTTGCCAAGCATTTCACACACCTCGACCTGGTACATATCGGGCCAGATGATTGGATGTCGGAACCAGGACTCCAAGATCGTCAGCCTTGGAGGGCCGTGCTGGCAAGGAGGAGGTGGCGCAGTGGATATAACGCTGGCGGAGGACCAAACTTCACAGGTTTCTTTTTTCTTTTCTTTTTTAACCTACCTATCTGGGTGACATTTCATGATTATAGCAAAGTAATAATTTTAGAAAAATTCCTATTTGTTTTATTACTTTCCCACCTGTAGTAGGTAAGGAAAGTATTACAATCGGGTCAAATTTCGGACATGCGGTTTTCGACGGATCTATACGTTTCACAGCCCGCTGAGTTACAGCTATTTAATTTCCAATGAAAGATCACGGGTTCATTTCCTGGTATCAGAAAGGGGTGAATGAGAGAATAAAGATGACTAAGTGAAAGTAAGAAAATCTTTTGCCCGCATCACACAATCTTCAATATTTCCTCTACTTTTAACATAAATTATTGTTTGACAATACTAAGCTATGCCAAAAAGTTTTTGATCAGCAATAATAGTGAGTATTGAAATTTTTACACTAATCTACCCTAAGACGGTTTAATTGCTTTAGTTTATCAAATAAATCTTACTCAAATCTTTTGTTTGATCAATTTTCAGGAAAATAAATTTAGTTCAATTCTTTTTTGTTTCTTCATGAACATATGTAAAGATATAAAAACTTTTCTGAAATAGGTAGGAAAGTCGTGTGAGTGGACATACCAGATATTTTTTTTTAATCATATTTAACTACAATTGAGCTCCTATTTTTATGAATGAAGGAGAGAGAGTCTCTGAATAAACACAATAATAATAATAGTAATAATAATAATAATAAGGCTTAGCGACACCACCAATCGCTTGTTACACACCTCCCTCCACCGTTCGCCGTCCAAACCCAGTCCCTTCAGATTGGCTTTAATGCAATCTTCCCACCTTCGCTTTGGTCTACCCCTCGGACGCTTACCATTCGGCACAGCAAATATTAACCTTCTGAATAAACACAAACATGGAAATAAGCTTTCTGGGAATTCAACTTAGCAGGTTTTTTTGCTAGAACTTTGGTTCTATATATATTTTGTTTCCATTTCAAATTATTAGAGTTTTATTGAACGTGGAACCCACACACCAGACTTAAAAGACGAACAACTTAACAGACGATACGGACAGCTATATAGACTAATGAATAGAAAATCTCAACTTTCAGTAGACAACAAACTACTAATCTACAAGACAACCCTGAAACCTATCTGGACCTACGGACTAGAGCTGTGGGGGTCAACAAAACCTTCTAACATTAAGTGCATTCAATCCTTTCAGTCTAAAGTCCTCCGAACAATAGTCGATGCACCCTTCTTTTTAATCAATAAAACCCTTCCTAATGACCTTCATATCCCATTTGTTATTGTCCTAATCCCAGACAAATTTTCCAAATTTCACCAGAAACTCAATCATCATCCAAATCCTGTAGCCTATCTAGCCCCTACAATTCTCCCCGGAGGTTAAAACGGCAGTGGCCCCGCAACCTTTTGTAAATATGTATATATTGGAGTACTGGCAATGGCCTCTCTCAGATTCTCCACTCATGTCCTTAGCGTCGGTTGCTCTAGTGCCCTCCATCAGCCTCCACTGGCTTGCAATACCAGTGACGCGGCTGGGAGAGAAGCACTGAGATCTCCTGGGGTCCTGCCTTGGCTTCCACATTTGGGGGACAAAGCATGACTCGGAATCCCCTGGGTGAATGTAAATATTGTATATAGGCGTGAATGTGTTTTATATATTTCAATTTCATTTAGTTTCTCTCGATTTTTTTTTTTTTTTTACCTATGTATGTTAATTTTCTTATTTTACTTTCTACAACTCTTTTTCTTTTATCCCAATATTAGTTATCATTTGTATGTATATATTGTGTGAATGTTTAATGTAGCCCTAATATTAATGCCCTCCAATGCAGCAGAATAAACATTCGAGCATGGTGTCCTCGGGTTCTAAATTATTATGAGTGTACACTACAAGTATACTCTATCCCACAGGTCTCCATGAGTTAGCTACAGCCCCCGTTAGTTTTTATGTGATCTTTATTAATCTAGCACTAGAATTAATTAATATTTAATTGATTAGAAACAGAAACCAGTAAAACAATATTTCTAAAATTCATATAATAAAAAATTTATGAATGAAAAAATTTCTTTGTTTCTTTTAATAATAAATTAGACTAACATGTTAATTTTTTTTGTATTTTCAGAAACTACTGCAATGAATCCACAATTTCACATTCTGATTCCAAGATCGACAGGAAACAAGTGTCATGTTGTCGTTTCCGTAACGCAGGACTACGACACCAATCCTACCAGCCCCAGGCAGCTCTACGCTATCGGGTTCGCAGTCTACGAAGTCCCTCCTTCCATGCCTAGGCTAACTCCTCATTTTGTTTCACAACAGGTCCTTAACGAAAGATAATACTATTATTATATAGTCCGTATAAATCCTAACTATAGAAGAAGAAAATAAGAAAAATTTTCAATCCTGTAATCAAGAGATTGTAATTAAATATTTTGAAAGAGTTATTAAAAAATATTCAAACATTCATAAAAGCATATTAATGTGGACATTAAAACATCCTCGTTGTTTGAGCTGATAATAATATTAGTGCTGATTTTCAGATTCAATAGTAATATTTGTATCGACAGTATGAATTAAAAATCTTTTATTTTTTATCAAATTTATAAATGATAAAATGTATGAATTTTATGTCCAAACTGTTATAGAAACCTCTGGACGTTACGAACCATTCCATTGCCCGAGAAGTTGTCACTTTCTTTACACTCCCTCCAGGAGATTACATCATTGTACCTCAAACTAATGTTCCAAACTGCGATGGAAAATTCCTACTCAGGATTCTAACCGATGAACAAAGCAACATCTGGTACATCCAATTTTCTATTTTATTTTTTATCTTTCTTTTTAATCATTCATTAAGTTATAGAAAGTTTTTCATTGTCAAAATATTTCACTTCCTTTATTTTTTAGGAATATTGATATTATAGTACTTAGTAGGTTTCACATTTGCATTGGGATTCGCAGCTACGCTTGTGATCGTCTTATCTCAGCAACCTTAACATATTGAAAATCAATCGAGTCAAATGATTATAATTATGAACATATTATTAGCGATTTCCAACCTTAAATTACATATTTATTTATTCTTTTATAATATTTTCAAATGTACTGTAATGCACATCTATCAAAACCATTTATAATTTCCTTGATTTACTTGTTATATATATTTTTTAACATATTGACTGCTGACCTATGAGATAATTCGTAATCAGTGTTGTGGTATAGGAAGACCTTCTGCGAGTAATCTCTTATTCATTTTAATTTAACAACTACAATGAAATTTCTTGTTATATTTGATAATTACCGTGTATTAAAATCAGATATTTTAATTATAAAGTGTTGAGTTAAATTGGCTTTTAGAAAAGTACTGTGATAGTTAACGTGTTAATATAATTACTTATTGGTGAAGCAGATCTCTTGGCCGCTTTCTTTTTCACCGGGTAACATAGAGTAGGAAAGTTGTTGGTCTTGTGGATTGGTGTGATAGTGAGTTGAAGATTGAAATGAGGTGCATTTGTTGTGGATGTGTGATTTTACTGTTGCAATTTTCATGTCATTGTGTATTGTGTGATTTGAAATATATATATGTTACATTGACAATTTACTGAAGATTTATGGCCAGTGCTGTTTGTATTATGTTTCTATGTACATGTTCTGCTTAACTAATATGTGATATTTGATTGTTTAGTGTAGTCAGTTCTTCTTCTTTCTTTTTACTTTCACTTACGTATATGTGTAATATATAGTAAGGGTAAGTATTGCGATCGTGAAAATTTTCGAATCTCAGTTTTCAACGGAAATACATGTTTTGAGGTCCCCTGAGTTCAAATAACCAAGTGTCGCAAAATGGTCTGTGTGTGTTGTGTGTCTGTGTAGTGTGTTAGCAGTCTAGCTCATAAACGAAAAGTAGTACGAAACTGATATTAAGTATTTAAGGTTTGTATATGGGCCGGATGTGACAGCAACTTTTTTGTTAAAATCGGCTAACCGGAAGTGCCACTTTATATCAACGCTGAAACACATTTTTACAATTTTCTCAAAAACGACTCTAACGATTTAGATCAAACTCGGTGTATCATTGTATAATTAAGTGGTCTTTAATATCATTTAGGTCTTATCCCCGTTGATGTCACTTTACAGGGCTTAAATGCCCAATGTTCATATATGTCTTCCTCTAAAGTACCTTTAATATGGTTTATTATAAAAAGTTTACCATTTCGTATTATTCAGAGTTACGAAGAAATGTTACATATAACTTTTGAAAGAATTTGATAAATTTCCCTAAAGTCATTTTCTCAATACCCTTTAAATTTATCTATATAACATACTTCAACGAAAAGAAGCTAGAAAAAAAGTCACGAGGGATGTTAAAATTAAATTCCGAATAACTCAAAAAGTTTATGCTTTTTTGTGGATATTGTATATTTTTTTTTAAAGTTTAATGAATTTCTTAAAAAAAAAATCGTTAAGATTATGAGGAAAGATATGGTCTCTAGTTTTTTTTTCCCTGAAGAGGCGAAAATTTGGATATATTTAAAATATACTTTTTTAATTGTTGAGACTAAAAAAACCTTTTTTTCTACAGATATTTAATAAAGTGTCTTTCCTAAGAACATCTTTCATAAGAAATAAGTACCTAAATGTATACCTTTATTCTCAGTTCTATATTTTAACACTGCAATCACCACCTCCGGAATCAACTTACTCACTGTCTGCATAGATAACTTTTTCAACTAAAAATATCACTAAAATGACATCACTCAAAAATTTAGAAATTGAAGTTAGTCATTCTGTGGTTTATAAAAGCAGATAGAGTGAATAGATTTTTATTGCCTGTCGTCGATATATTATATAGACATTTTGTAATTATAATGATCTTAATGACTTGTTATCTGTAAGCTTTAAGCTTTAGCTCCGTTTAAAATGCACTTCAAAAATTTTTATAATAGCCCAGCATTGCCAGAAAATAATTTCTATTCATATTAGTTCGGTAAGTGAAAGTTGCGTGTTGCACGCACTAGATTCTTATCGATGGACATAGTTTAAAAAAGACTGGACAAAGAACTAAAATTGAATCAAATGTTAGCTGAAAAAGAGATCTTGGAACGCGGAATCATGAAGCGACAGAGCTTGAAATAGATTCTAGAAGATTACATTGATCCACATCGGACATTGAATTCACTTAAAACATGTACAATATTGATTGTTTCTTTCCTGTTAAATAAGGAACAATATGAATCACAGGCGGATTTCGGGCTGAAGCTCTCCTAAAATATTTTCTGTAAAAGTATTATTGTTCGCGTAATTACGTTTAATAGGACTTAAGAATCACTTAAACACCATTTCATATTACTTTATTTTTCTTCCAAAGTAATTATCGTTATATATAAAGCTCTCGGGCTGAAGTCCCCCTAAAACTAAATCCTGTATCTGCTAGTGATGTGAATTGTGTAGCCATTCTTTTCAATGTCTGAAAAATACCCATATTTTTTTATTTCAGGGAAGTGAATGAAGATAACATGGTATTCAGAAATATTTCAACCGAGTTTCTTGAAGATGCATTTGTGATGGTAATTATTATCTATTTTATTGTTTGTTTTAATTAACCTATTAACTATATACAACTAATTTGACTTAAAATCTAATGAATCGCACTCTATTCAACAGCCTGATGGGAAGTCGTTAGTAACAAAGCTGCTGCTGAAATACCCACCAGAAGTAGACGTCAACCAACTTCACAAAATACTAAAAGCGCATTGGAAAGGTAATCATTTAATATTTATTTATTACTGTACTATTGTTTCTAATAGTCAAAATAATAACTGGTTATTGAAGCAAGACTGATCAGATTTAAATAATAAAATCCTATAGAGTGGTGTTATATTTTAATTTAGTATTTACTCTTTTCAATGTAATGGAGATATTGTTGACAATTGATGCAATGAAATGCACAGTAATGAAATATCTGTTTAATGTATGCCAAAGTTTTAAGACTAAGTTATAGGCTTTTATAAGGGCTGAAAAATAATTATACATATAAATTAATTAAAAAGAATGGGTTTAAATCTAAAATCTCTCTCTTTTATTACCTTACCCTCTCAACATTACATATTGCATTTTTAATATTTAAAATTTATAATGTATATATTAATGCATACTACAGATAACTCAGAGATTTAAATACCTTGGAGAAATCATATGCAGCAATGGTTCAGAGAGAGAAGGGTTTTCAGGAAAGAATCACCAAAATAGAGAAATTAAGCTTCGCCACCAGTGAGCTTTATAAAAAGAAGAACTTATCTCTAAAAGCCAGAATACGACATTATAACACGGTCGTCTAGCCAGTGGTACTCTACACAACAGAAACTTCTTGTCTTCCCAGCCTAGAAAGTCTTCTGAAAATAGAAAGGAGAATTCTCAGAAGAATCTACGGGCCTAGGAGAACACCTTGAAGGATACAGGTTGAGGTCAAATGAGGAAATATATAAGGAAAAAACGGATGTAGAAACTGATGCTAGAGTGGGAAGGCTGAGGTTCTATGGCCATATGATAAGGATGAATCCTGAAAGACTTAACCATAAAATCTTTCAGCACATCCACAGCCATAAGAATTTAAGCGGGTATTTTAAACAGATTAAGGATGATATGGACCAAGTGGGGCTAAGAGACCAAGATTGTTTAGACAGAGATGAGTACAGGAAGGCGCTCAAGAGAATAACGGTTCTTGCGGGTAAGAAGCACTCCAAAAAGGGTGTTGCGTGGTCTGAGGAGAGAAAACGTAAGCATGCGGAGCTCATGAGGGGCATATGGAAGAAGAGGAGGCAGATGAAGAGGAAGCATTAACTTCATGGTATTCGCGTGGTCTTTAAGGCCTATTCGTGAAAAAAAAAAATGCATACTACGTTAATAATTTGTTTCATTTTATCATATGCTGTATTTCTTGGTAAGATCTTGTATGGTAGGTTGATCTGTATTTCATTTATTTATTTTTTTTTTTTTTTGTGCACTGCAGCCATGAAGACCTATTTTACACCTATATTAGTGTCGCTCTTAATCTAAGCATTATTTGTGCAGTCTCTACAAACTGAATTAGGCTTGTTAGATTGACAAGCTCGTTTTTCTTGGGATCAGACATCCTATCATTACCGAATAATCGGAATCGCATCAATGCTGTCGCACCAACAGGTGATGTGATAAGCTCTGTCGTTCTCGAGACCACACAACCCACAAAGAGATGACTCTGTTAGGTGTTGTTTGAACAGTTGATATTTTAGTTTACAGTGATCAGTATATGTCGCTGTAATTTTCTTAAGACAGCTCCTGCTCAAGTTAATTAGTAGGTTGCTTCTCTTTGGACAAATTCCATCCAAGAACAATATTGAGTTAGTATGTTTTTTCAAGCATTGGTATTTCTTGGCTTCAGCATCGTATATCTCCTCGATTCTATTATTTATTAGACTTGTACTAATGTCGCAGATAGGTTAGAGAATTATAAGTCATTTGTGAGTCTGGTACCCATTCAATAGTTACCTTATTGTACCTAGATACATTTTTAAGAATCACACCACAGTTCTTAACAGCTTTAAATCTAGTTGTATAGTTGCCCAGCGCTCGTATTGCCTCTTGACTGTCGATATGGATGGAAATCTTCTTCCCCACCAACTCATCAAACACCAATTTTTAGGCACAGTGAGATATTGCCATTATTTCTGAGTGGAATAGTGTTGCATATTTGCCAATATTAATACATTACCTAAGACATATTTATGAAATATTTTCAACTATTGCAATATTACATTTAAATTATTTTGATTGTGTGCATATCCTTCCATTCCAAATTCCACATATCAAAGCCTTAAGTGCATTGTAGCACGAAAGGCAAATTTTTTCGAGACATCTCCCTCACACTCTTCCAAATCAGGGAATACCATTTTGGCAAATGCAAGAATTGTTCCTATGTACTCCTCCTCCCTTAAGAAAAAATAACCAAGTTTATCCTTAGATCCTTGGTTCTATGTTACCTTGTGATATTTTTGTCAAACATCTTGCAAAGCATACTAAACAGGTCATAATCACTGTCACTCGAAATAAATAAATAATTTTTTTTTGTTTAGTTAAGATACTAGGATATTTCTCATGCCTCCTCCCCCCCACCTCAAGGCTCTGTAATAATAGTTGCTGCAATTGTTTATTATCTGGTTAACTGTATACTGATAGCTATTTTTATATCATATATTGTTTACATGTGAACATGCTCATATATACCTATCTACAATTCAAATGTTAACTTGTGCCTTTTTATCATTTTAATTTCAAGGCCTGATAAATCATGTAATTTAATTAATTCTTGATCATCTTCTTATGTCAGACAAATTGTTCATTATAATTATTCTCAGAGGACTGAATGTCCCAGAATAAATTTACTTTTCTTTCTTTCTAATATTATTTATTTAAATATTTGTTTTAAATAATAATTTCCTACCGAGTTCTCGAATTTTTTTTTAGCTTATTTGTTGGAAAAGCCTTCCCTTGAACTTTGCAAGAGCCTAATCATGCTGAGAGACATCAACATCAGTGGAAGGGTGAATAAACTGGACATTCCCATCCTGATGCACATGCTTCACTTCTGGAGGGTATAAAATAAATTAAATTATATAAATTGATATATGATTTTATTCTTTCCTGTTCTTACTAAACTGGCTTTACTATTCATATGCAGTATGTGTCTTAAACGATTTGCTAAAATTGAGGGAATAATAATAGGCTTAAAGTGATATTGGGATTATAGTTCAATTCCAAACCAAGAAGGAGTAATTTTAACCTTTTAAAAAAAAAAAAAAAAACAGTTGTTAAAATTTTTGTTCAATGGGAAGCTACAATTACAAAATTATTTGAGTTAGGTATTTCTCAATAGCATCATAAATAAAATTTACTTTAAAAATAATTTTATATCTATATTTGTTAAAATTATTTAAAGATTTTTTTGAGCTACTAAACTGCACTGCACTAAATTCATTTCATTGTATTTCCTAAAATGTTAGTTTTGATGATAACGTTGGTAGAATATTACAAAACCTTATTAAACAGAAGAGACATTTATTTTGAAATAAAATATTTTACAACAGAATTTTTATGGCATTATTATGACCGAAATAGTTATTTGTTTCTAGTAAAACATCCCGTTGCTTCTATTATAAATAATTTAATGTATTATTAAATTATACTTTTATAATTTTATTCAAATGATATGTAGTAGACATCCCCCTGTATTTACTCCTTTAGTTGACATTGTGTGAGGGAATGAAAAGGAATATATAATATATAGGAATGTGAGGATGCACTGTGAATTGTACTCAATTGTGCAGTGGACAAATTGCTCATTGGAAAATCTCATATCGATAAAGAATCGAAAAGAAGAAAAAAAGGTCAGAGCAGGTAGCTGGGAATAGATGGCGAGGACGACGCCAAACACTTGAGGCCTGGACACCAACACAAGAAGACGTCATCTGGGAAGAGAGGCTTACTACATTGAAGACTAAGAATATCAAGGCTACAGTTCACTTTTATACATTCATTTATTATCAGTTGTTAAAATAAACTTGTTTTGTTAGGCAGGAGTGAATAGTCATTTTATTTAGTTGTCCTATAGGCCTCTCAATTGAAGAATAATAAGCCAGGAGAGTCAATTCATTCAAAGTGTATTTACTAAGTCCCATATTTCATATATATATTCTTATTGTTTCTTCTCACTCAATGTCACAAAAGGTATTAGATTCCCGAATTCCCAATGACAGTTAAACACCCTCAAAAAAGTCTATACCCAGTGCTGGGGTTTTATCTTAATATTCACGAGTGTAAATAACCCAAATCCCCGATATAAAAAGGGAAGGCTATTCGCCTATTCCAGCCAAAACAAATCATTTACAATTAACTTCCTGTAGGTTATTTACTGATATTTGAAAAAAACATCACTGCATATTACATTACAGGTTGCTTCATTAATTGTAGCATTTCAAAGGCTTGACAATAACTTATACTTAACAATAGGAAACGACAGAAACAAAAATCCACTTAAAATATTTATTTTATTTTATTTTTAATTTTCTTTATTTTAATAATTTATATTTATTTCCTGTCTTTATATACATGTTGTATGAATGAATACAACTTCAATGTAGCAGATTGTGTTAATGTTCAATATACTCGTTAAAAACTTAATATATAATATAGTACTATAATAATATTCCCAGTACACTATAAATAATTTATTTAACACTAATATTGATGGTTAGTTAACTGTTCAAAACAATATATTTTACAGTTGTGTTTGTATTTTGTCTTAAGGATATTTATTTTTCTATAAAATATATATATTTTTTTTAATTATTAATTTTTACCATTGTTTTGTTATTATTATAGATAGCTTTTGAAAAGTTTGAACGTTGCGGAAGTAAGACATCCAGCTATAACTTGAGAGCACTTCTTTGGGAGGCCGGGAGTACAGTTTCGAACAAGGTTCTCGAGTGCCTTGTCCTCCGCTTTGCCAGGAATACCGTTCTGTCAGCAGAATGCTTCGTTATGGCAATGGCGCGGCTTCATCTAGCACATGGTAAAAATAAATATAATTTTATGATATTATTTTATATAAAAGTTGTATAATCAAACTCGATTGTGTATGTTATAGAATTCTTCAACCCCTTATCGATGGTTAAGTGAATCCTTTTATCTGTAGAACAACTGTAGGGACTCTACTTTAAATTATATACAAAAATTTTTTTTTAAACTATTTAAAATAGGTTGTCCAAGTTTTTTAAAGTATTCTTGATTCCAAGCAGGCTTCTCAATAACACTGAGGATATCAACTCCATAATTCTATTAGTTTAGTGTTGCTTTTCATTCTCTCTGACCACTCCAAGGATCTTCCTTAGGATTCTTCTCTCCCAGACGAGCAGAGAAGGAATCTCCTGTTTTCTTCGGTCATTGTCCACATCCCACTGCCATACACAACGACTGATCTTATAACCTTTTATATATTATGAGCTTTATAATATATAAAGATAACCCAACAATACATCTCCCCCATCCTTTGTTACCATATCTCCACTCTATTCAAGCAATCTCTTCAATTAGGTTGGTTTTTCTATCTATCTTAGTTTTTTCCTCCTTCCTTTCATTCTGTTTTCCATATTTCCATCTCAATTTTGTATATATTGATACATTTACTCATTTATTTTTTACTTTATTTTAACTCTTTATTCTATTATACGTAGTTAGTACATTTTGATAGACTTTACAATATCTCAATTTTACTATTTATTTTTATTTATTTTATAACTTCATATTCCTTTTTTCTGTTTTACATTTTATTCTAAGATTACCAATTTAGTACTTATGTCACATTATTTTGATTATGTTTACTTCATTAGTCCACACTTTGTTACTGTTATTATTATTTATTTCTTAGTTCTTGTTATTGTCATTATTCTACCTACTTCAATTTACTTTAATGTTCACTTATCTACTTCATTTTACTTTAAGTGTTTTGTTTTTTTTACCTACATTGTTTATGTTTCTCATACCTATTGTTATCTGGTTCTTTTCTTAGCACTGATGAAGGCCTGAACTTCGGGTCGAAACGTCGACAAATGTTAAAATAAATATTGTTATTTATTTTTGCCATTTTATTTCTGACTGATCACCCAACCATCCTTCTCTTCTTTATTGTGAGCTTTGTGTTCCAGGAGAGACTTGTATTGTAGCACCTTTTTTATAGCAAAGAAACAATTTTGTAACCATCCTGCCTCTTATTTCAGCTTCCAAATTATTGTTATCTGTCATTACTCTCTCCAGGTACATAAATTGATCACAGTTTTGAAATGTATCATCTGCCGATTCAACAGTATCTCCTCTCTCCCTGGTACATCAAGATGTTTTCATACACCTTCTCTTTTCTGTACTTACCGTGAGTCCTAAGTTTTGAGCTGCTTGCTTTAACTCTTCTACAGTGCCAGCCAGTGCTGTGATAACATCAGCATCCTCCATTTGCTGTCTGAGTTTATTATAAAGAATATCACCAGAGTTAGTTTTAGTTTTTCGAATTTGGAACTAGTGACTTAGCCCCTTGCCACGGATTGCTATCTGCCAATGTTTATAAACTGAATGCTAATAATTCTGATACTGATAATGCCTATCTTCGTATCATATTTATGGAAATTCAAATAGACAAAAAGAAACATATTGAATACTTAATAGTTGACCTTTGTATTATTGAGGAAGGAGATGGTCCCGGATGGCGGTCATAAATAGACTAAATAGTGGCAGTAAGGAGTTTTACTTAGAACTGAAGTCAGTTCTAAGTGATGCTCCTTGCTGAACACACCTCCCTAAAGAAGACCTGCAAAGTCGGGTCAAAACGTTGGCTTTTAATAAAATAGTTTTGCCACTATTTAGTCTATTTATGACCGACACCCTGTACTATCTCCTTCCTTGACAAAAAAAAAAAACAATTTTATTTATTTTGGGAGACAAAATACAACATATACAACATTTTATTTAGTTTGGGAGACTAAATAGCTTAATGTAATTTAAAATAGCAAGAAACGGGTCCTCTTCTCTTTGGAACCGCCACCACAAAAATTCACTTAAATAGGAATGCAGGTGTTGCCTCGCAGTTCCTCCATGGTTTTTATATCTCCACTTAGCTGAGCCCTATAAACGTCCTGTGTTAAGTATGGACCCCAGTCGATGGATCAAGGAAGTTATAACGGTGATTCACCTGGAAATGATGATAGTTTACTTCATTCAGTTGTTGAGTGTTGAATCCTTTCCAACAGTCGGAATATATAGTGGTTCTCTCTTCTATATTATTTTTAATACATTATAATAGAGTTGTTGCTTTTCTGTCTTTTATTTTTACCATGAAACACTCATCTGTTTCACCACTTCATGACCTTCACATTTGGAACTATCCCGAACTTATGAAAGTATTTGACAGCTTTTTCTTCCAAAGACAGCAATTCACGAAGTGTTATTATATCTATTTTAAATAGAAAATATCAAAATTAACTGCAACAAAAAATTGAAAACAATTGAATAATGCAGAGGTAATGGAAAGATAACAAGAGGTTACATGAGATAAGAAGGGAGGTTCCATAGCGACATGCGAAGTCACAAGTACCTCGAATTTCCACTTCTAAGGCAAGATTAAATAGTACAAGAGATTATTGGTTCTTCTGTCTTAAGCCACTGTTAACCTGGATGCTATCTGATATAACTACTACCTGAATTCCAATAATAGGGTGATTAAGAGATCTTGACCTGCTCATCAAAGTGGAGCAACACTTGTAAAATAAAACCTAATTGATTACTCCTCGGATATTAGGTGTCTGAATATTCTCTATTTCACTAATATCGTTCTTGCCTCGTAATGCTACGCAATGTTATGTTTCGTATTTATGCTGTATTACTTCTAGTTTAAGTTTTGCCAATAAGTTTCCTCAAGAATCACATTATTAACTGTATTTGCATGGTTATCTATGACTCATTTCAATATTTTAAAATTTACTTCATTGTATAGTTAAAACATTATTATTTTGTAATTTAATAAGTGTAATGATATGAATGAATATATATGACTGTAATTAATTCACTAACTCTTGAGGCCTAACTTTTTAATAATGATTTTAAGTCTTTCATGCAGAACTATCTCCATATTTTTATAACCTTTGACATATACAAAATTCTTATAATATTAATTTACCAATTGTGATTATTAACTAAATTTATACTGAAATAACTAAATTTCAACCAATATCTACAAAAATCACTTCAATATAGCAAAAGTATAATAGAATATATATATATATTTCAAAAAAATTAATTTTTAATAATTTTATTTTTATCATTATAGAAAGATACCACAGCTTGGACACCAAAATGAAAGGAAATCCAATATCATTGGAAGAGGTAATTTGTCACTTACCTAGAATTTACTAATATTTCAATTTCAATCATATTTGTTATTGTTTATTATCTTAAATTTATTCAATTTGAAATTTAATTTGTCTCTAGTTACTGCTTGTATTTTTATCTACATCTGCGTATTCTAACCCTCCGTACTAGTTGTAACTAATAACTGTTCTTAACTACATAGAATTTTTTCCTTCTCTTTATACAATGTGATTACAAGATTACCATGTCCAATATTAATTTTAACATGTTGACTGCTTTCTTTTAATAAAATGAAACTTTAGTCACCAATAAATAAAAATATAAACATTTTATACCTAAAAGTATATTGTTTCTGTAATAAAAAACTTAGCCTCCGTCCCGCCACCTCCAAATTGATTCCTCAATCTGTTACAGCCTTCGAAGCCAACTATGACTTTTCTCATAGTTTTATACTGTGATATTCGTTCATCTACGATGAAATTTTTGTATATCAGTGTAAATAAATGTAAGTAGATAGTCTCTAAAATAAATAATTTTTCTACCATGAGCCGCGATTCGAATCCAGGACCTTTAGCATTGGAAGATCAGTGTCCTACCACTGAGCTACTCCAATGCTTTATTAATTCTTTTTCATCAGCCGTGGGGCGACCCTGGAATCAAGAGACCTTCCTGGGGCACACCCAGCCTCTATAAAGTGGGTACCCTTAATTAATATTAATTAAATGGGAAAACCTGGCGGTTGAGAGTGATCTCAGTCAAATCACCTCCTTGTACGACCGTTGACCAAGAAACAGTGCTTTCCCTAAATAGTACTGAACCCAGAACCTTCATGGGTTGTAGTGGTAGTTTTTTTTTTTTTTTTTTTTGTTTTTTTAGATAGTCTCTATCCAAGTAGAAAAAAATTCAATCCTTATTATAAGCATATTCTGTTTATGATATAAGCAAACTACATGATCATTCCTCTTTTATTTTTAAAAAGCATATTCTGTTTGTTTTTTTAATAATTAGTAGTCAAATTAATATTTCTTTAACGATGGAATCCTGAAAAGTACCATGCTAGTCAATGTTTTAAATTATAATCTATCTTAAACGTCGGCAAAAATTAAAATAATTTATATATTTTAATTTTTTTTATTTATTTGACCGCACCCTCGACTAACTCCTCATATAATCTATCTTATTCAGTATAATTCATGACTATTGCTATGAACACTAAAAATACTTCAATATTGAAAATTGAAAATTATCATTCCGACTGCTCCAACACTTACCAGACAAATGCTCTAAACTTTCAATTAATTACAAAAGACTTGTCTACATAACTATAATAAGACGTTTATGGACATACGTTGTTGAGCTTTGGGGCTCCACCAAACCATCAAATTCCTATCGTATCCAATCCTTACAATCCAAAATCCTCCGTAAAATCCTTAATGCTCCTTACTTTGTTCCAAATAAAACCATTCATAAAGACCTTAATGTACCATATGTCGCTGATTTAGCTCGAGCCAGATATCTATCCTTTCATGATAAACTTCAGTCCCATCCAAATCCGCTTGTTTCCACTCTTGCTTCTTCCTCGATCCCTGATAATCCTCCTAGGCGTCTGAAAAGGAGATGGCCTCGTGATCTTCTTACTTAAAATTATTTAGGGAGTGCTACCACTGGGTAGGAACTCTTCAAGCCTGTACATTCCACCATTTATAATTTGCGCATATTTACTAGTTGTATTGGTATACAGTTGTAAATTTCATTAAATAAACAAAACAAAAAATTATCATAAAATAATTTTTCATTAGTTCTTTTCATCTTGAATTACCTGATATTTTTTTTTACATTTTCAGATGATTCTAATGACCATTTATTCATGACACCAAAAGGAATCGAAAATATTATTATTCTAATCAACTTTTACTGCCTTCGATACGAAGCGAGTCAGCATGCCAAAGACATTAGCAATCAACCGAAAAGATTTATATTATAAATATTTTTATATAAATTAGTATATAAGTTTACTTATATGTTTGCCATGTACCATTATTGTATATTATGTAAAATCTACTAATACGTTACGTGTAAATATAGTGCAAACTATTTAAAACAATCGCTATTAAAGCGTTTATTTTTATTGTTAGCATAGTTAACTATTATTGTCAATAAAATGAATTATATTTTCTTAACCTCATTACGATTGTCAAACCGTTATTGTTATTAAATTATTTTATTTAAATACATATTTTTCCATGTTTGTTTGATTCAGTTCAACCTTTTTTAATTAATTGTATCTTGAAATATCCGAGGTTCTACATTCATAAGATATAAAAATGTCTATGTAAATACCTTATACTTGCTAAACAACTACATCATATTATCTGCACGCAGCTCTATTGCGTCTTCGTTTATTCGATCTATCCATCTGCTTTCTGGCCTTTCATGTTTGATATATTTTTTTAATAATGTATGATATAATAGCTTTTTAGCCGCTCATGTTATAAATATAATAATCATGCTTGATAAAACTGTTTGATATAGCTTCAAACTATTTCAATTAATTTTTCAAGCAATGAGTCATGAATAATTATTAAATAGGATAAATGGTTATTAACTCACATAATATACATAAATTTAAATTTTATTTACAAAATACACAATTTAAATACATCATAACATAAATCTATCCATTTGGTTTAAATGACTATGAAAAATCAACATCCAACTTATATTTGGCCACAACAAATACATATATATATATATAAACATTCAACACAGAAATATATATACGTTACAATATTATCTCTAAGAACCATCAATAACATTTGATAAAACATAATCGACATTTGGCTTGTAATAATTATTTTGCACCTGGGAGTATGTGACATCGAGAATCTGTACGTTACAAAATATCTTAGAAGAAGAGAAGATAATTGCAAGCTGATAAGGTAACTTACACGACAACACTTACATCTTCTGTTTATTAAATGCAGCTAGTTCACTGATACGACAGTACACCTAAGTATTCCTTAAAGTTAAACATTTTTTTTGTTTGATAAAATTTATTTGTATTAAAAATATATATTTTCCCATCATTCTATAGTTTATTATATATCAATATAATAAAAACGCTATCATCCACAAATCGGATTCTTACGACTTAAAAAAAAGTTCTTTAAATATTTTCCATACGATATCTAAACACTACGCTAACCGTCAGTCTCCATCACATTTTATGTTATAATAACAAAACAAATAATTTTTTATAGAAAAATAGTAATTCAGTAAAAAAAAAAAACTAAAACTACCAGTTCGATAAGAAATAAAATTTATCTGAACACCAATATTTGGTATTGTAACAAAAAAAAAAGTTTTAAAAGCTCTTGTTTGACCATTATTATATTTTTATACAGTTCAAAAAGATATGTCAAGCTTATGTCTAAAGTAAACTCTATAAGGCAACACACATAGAATCGTATCGATAATATATAATATCCAAACATACAACAATAAATAATATCTATAGACATATTTACAGAATTTTTTTTTTTTAAATAGCATCGGAAGAAATCTAACAAGAAATGAGCAACAGCAAATATATTTTTTGAAAGGCAGGTTAACAATAAGGAAGCTGGTGAGCTCCAAATCAATAAAGCTTTGCTGAAATTAAACATAATCTAAAGGTGGCCACGAACACATTCCACTTATTATGACTCCCGAACATCTAAAAATGCTAGGACAATAAGGTGTATATACAGTTTAGATATAAACAAATAAATATAAGCCATCCATACGCTTGTGTTTATGGGCACTGGGCATTCTTCTACTAGCACGTAGAGTCACAATTGTATGATATTTTAACTATTTTATAAACTTCTGTTTGAATTATCTATATTCAAAACCAAAGGGGACTCATATAAATTATATCTGAACTAATACAAAAAGATAACTAGAAAAAAAATGCATAGAACAATATTTCTACAGCAAAAATTAACAAATATAAACAAAGTCTATAAACTATCAAATAATTATTCAACAGTAAACAAAATATTTTTGATTTTCGAATTAAATATGAATGGTATCTAAGCGACGAAGACATTTAATGATAGATACATAACAACAAATAATTAGCAAAACATCACAGGATTTTTGGCATCAATTCATCGCACGTTACTATGATGCCTCAGTTTCATGTCAGATATTCTGAACTGTTTTCGCCCCCTCATCTCTTCAGGCCTGTTCACCAAGCAGGCAATGTTCTCTTTCCTGAAAAAAAAAGAAGTCAATTTAGAGAACTTTATAAATAAATTAAATAAAAATCATGATATTTACCATTACTAATTACAATCATAGCTGATTTTAAAGAGAGACCACTATGAGGATAACGTTTGATTTGTTGAAACTTAAAAACTAAACAAGTTAAAGGTGAAAATTATGCGATATCTGACATATAGAATACTAAAAAACAGTTTATTTAACAAATCACAAAATAATTAATTATTTAAAACTCAATTATATCTGTTAAGCCCAAAACAAATATTTTTCTTCTTTAAATAATTGTTTATCTTCATTTATTTTTTTTAAATATAACTAATAGTTATAGAGTAAACCTCCTTAAAAAAATGCTCAAAGCCTTTAACTCTTAATCCAATTAAATTACCTTCATTTTTTTTTATAATAAAACTAATTTACGATGTACATAACTAAATCAGAATTAAATTCATTATTAATTGTAATTTCTAATAGATCGTTGAAAATATGCAACAAACACTTCTAAAATTATTTCATCATAATCAAACTCAGATAAGCCCTCATCCGGAAATATAGTCACAACCTCCCGAAATTTCAGGAAAAAGTTATGAAGGAAAAGAAACTTTATTAGCTGATAACTCAAAAAGTATACTTTTTTTCGACGATTTCATCCTTAATGATTAATTTTAAAAAAATACTAAGTTCCCAAAAATAAATTTTAAAAAAATCATCACATTCGGGGCACTACTAGCTGAGAAACAGTTTATTGTAGTAATTCATAAACATTTTGGTTTAAAACATGA